GTTGTGAGGAAAGTGCTTTATAAGCTTTAAACCATTAGAAACGAGTGATTATATGCAATTCTTGATGGGATAAATTATTTAATAATACCTCATTTTTTATGTTATAAAGGAACTATTTGTATCCTTCAGTTTTAAAGATTATTATTTGTACTTCTGTCCCCAACCCAAAAACCTGTAAGAAGAACATCCTATTTAAAAAGAAAGGCATTGGGATGTTAACACAGGAGAAAATGAGAGCAACTTCCTATCCCTTCCTCACCTTTGTTATCTTTCAGTTTTCGTCAATTACCCTTCTGACTTTTTTTCTTTATCCCTCTAAGATTACAGTGACTGCTAGAAAAATAAATGGGAAAGGAAAAAATTCCCTCATACTTCTTTATAGTTGGAAAAATATCTTCATTTTACTGTAGGTGTCCATCTTTTTCTGTGGCGTCATCATTGTTAATGTTGCCTATCTTGGAATAGAAGCTCTTAATGGACAATGCACAAGTCATTAAGAATACGAGTACATTATATTTTTCTAAAGGGACTAATAAAGTGACAAAAAACAAAACAAAAAACCTTGAAGATGCTGGTATTATTAATCTGCCCTTACTGTACTGTTAAACAGTGATAAGAGCTGCCAGTGAATTCCATTAACTCTGGATTTCCCGCTTACTCTGGTCATCAAAGTAGTCCAAAGTGTGGGTGAGAAATTTAAATTGGGTCATATGCAATTTGAGATTAAAATACACATACATTCTGGCTTTCTCCCCTAGCCTCAGTCTAGTTTATCATCAGGACCTAATGATGCAAATTCCTAAATGTCAACTCTAGTTTTCTTAAAATTGTGTATTTAATGCATTGGCAATAGGAGAAAAAAAAAACCAGCTTTGCTAGAGCTGTTTTTTGCTATTTTGATTTGGTTACCTGTGCTTTGTCACCTTTATGGTGTGATAATATCCCCTAACTAGTACAAAAAAAGTTAATTCCCCCCTCCCCCATTTATATAACTTAATAGTGTAGTTTCCTATTCAAGGAGACAGTTAATCTTTAGACTCTCTCTCCCTCCTTGTTGAATTGGCATGAATTGTATAATGAATTTAGGCAATGTACACGGATGGACAGTTTGCGTAATTTAGCCCTAAACTTAGTTTATTCAGGTGAAAAGGAAGGTATTTCTGTTTTCTTATCATCTGGAGACTTGTAGCTGTGACAGAGTCAATCATGAAAGACAGTTAAAACATTGTTTTCTGTGCTTTCATTTTCATGTTTTTGCCTGCTTAAGGGACTTTCAAAGGAAGGGACGTGTTTTCTTATGAGAGCATTCCAAGCTAGAATTATTGAGAATGGCTTAGATTTAAGAAGGAATTTCTAGGAAAATTAAGATACTTCTTAAATGAGGAAATTTGAATAAAGTCATATCTTCTCTGAACAGTGTTATTTAAGATTTATCTTCAGCCTTGATTTTGTGGTTTAGTTGTTTTTCAGTTGTGTCAAACTCTGTGGTCCTTTTCTGGGGGGTTTTCTTGGCAGATATACTGTAGTGGTTTGCTGTTTCCTTCTCCCCCTCATTTTACAGATGAAGAACTGGGGCAAACAGGGTTAAGTGATTTGCCCAGGGCCAGACAGTGAGTTAATGGCACTAAGGCCGAACAAGAGAGTTAACCTCTCTCACCCCCAGTTTCCTTATCTGTCAAATGGGGGTAATAATAGAACTCACCTCACAGGGTTGTTGTAAAGATCAAATTAGGTATCGTGAAGCATTTTGCAAACCTTAAACTGCTATATAAAATGCTAACTTATTACTGAATAGCTTTTAATAGGGCCATTTGTGTACAAATTGGGGCTTATATTTGATTATACATTTGACATAGCAAATGAGTAGGCTTATGTTCTTAAAATTCTGTCAGTCATTTTTCCTTTCTGTAAATTCTTTACAGTTTTTTCATATATTCTGTATCAGTTATAAACAGCTGAATATTTCTTTCAGACAGTCTTAAAGTCACTTAAAAATAAAGGAAAGTTCATATGGCAGGCAGCATTATATAATGAAAAGATGCCTGGATTTGGATTCCCAGGTTCAAGTCCCATCTTGGGCAAATCATCTGATCTCTTGGTCCGCAGTTTTTTTATCTGCAATGAGGAGGTTGGATGAGATTACCTTTAGGTTCCTTTCTAACTCTAAATGTATAGTTCTGCATAAAGCATGTCTTTTGGACAAATGCAATTTATGTCAAAGATAAATCATATTTTTAAAACAATGTTTTAAGGTAAGTATTGTAGAAGCTATTCTATGATGCCCTTGTTTTTCAATGAAAGCGTCCAAATTGTATATCTATATTTCAGAAAAAACTTTATGAATTGTGGTCATTTTATGTTTTAAATTGTTCTTGAATGTTTGTCTAGGTGAGGGGTTCCCAGACTGGGGTATAAAAAGCTTATTAAGGGAACAGTTTTTATTTCTGAAAAATTAATCTCTTATTTCGTTCTTCGCATATACAATGGTAAACTTGGAAGGTAATGTGGACTATGGGACCAGAAAAAGGTTAGGAACCCTGGATCTAGATCTTTTGAAATAGAAATATTCATCATTACACATAATGAAACTACTTAAATTTAGGACTTGAAGTAATTTACAAATTACCAGAGAAATGATAGAGTATGCATTTTTTTTCTCCTTTATTTCTGGAACATCTGCCTTAATGCAGCCTATACTCAATTTTTTCTTTTTAAAGAGATCTCATTTGTGGGGTGCAGCCTATATTAGGGGATGATTGGAGTACTATAAATTACTTTTCAAAAATGAAATATATTAGTTTTCAGAAATGACTTTATGTTGAAACAGTGAACATAGATAAAAAATATTTTTATCCTGTAGAACTTTTCAATGTTTGTTAGAGTCTTCTTCAGAACTAAGGTTTCAGTACTGAAGAACAGGGAAGATGGTTTGTATAATCATACTGGTTTATTTTTCATGAGTAATAGGTAATTCCCTAATGCATAGAAAAGATGTGTATGTTGTATTTACTTTAAAGGGTAGAGTTCTATATAGAAGTATCACTTTTTTTCCCCTGCAGACAACATTAAAAGATAATATGATAGAGATATATATATATATATATATATATATACACATACATATATTGCCATCTAAATATCACTGTCTGTCTCCAAAGTAGCTGTAGTAATAGTTGTTTGATGCCTGCAATGAAGGAATAGACTAAGTATTTTTTAAGTGCAAAATTAACATCTGTTCCTTAAGTTAGACATTGTTTTAAAGCAAATCTTTGTTTAAAGAATATTACTTTTAGGGACAGTTAAGTAGTGCAGTGGATAGAACACCAGTCCTGGAGTCAGGAGGACCTGATTTCAGATATGGCTTCAGACGCTTCCCAGGGCAAGTCACTTTACCCTAATTGTCTCCAAAATAAAAAAAAGAATATTGCTTATATATAATTTTAATGAAAAATTAGCTGTTGTGCCAAAGAAAATGGATTTATGTACTGGTGGTGAGTTGAATTTCTACCTGGATTCTTTAGGATCAGACTTAGTGTAAAAGTTAAATAAAAGCTGAGGAAAATGTTGAGCCTCAAAATAACTATACTATTTCACCAGGGAAACACTTTATTTCCTCCAAGGGAGGATTTTGAGAATAACTATGGGGGAAAACTGGTCTCTCTTTTCCTTGAGGTTTCTGTTATCATCTGTTACCCTGTGGTTGTAGTGGCCTCAAAGATAGCACCTTATGTGTTAATTTGACAAGTGCTTAGCACAGTTGGTTGATAAGAAACGTTTTGTGTCTTTTCCCAAGGGCAGGGACTATATTTGTATTCATCTTTGTATCCCTAGTGCTTAACACAGTACCTGGCATATAGTAAGCACATAGCACAACTATGTAAGACAGCCCCTTGTCCTCAGGAAGCTTATGATTATTTTGGGAAGAACAAAAACCATCAAATACTAACATAAGAAAGCACCATTAATTGTCAAAATGAGTAGTCCAAAGGTATTTCCTTTTCTTATTCTATGATATTTAGCGTCCCTCTTTAATAATGGGTTGCAGTGTCATCATCACCTATTATTCTCACTGCGGCATGGTGTGGCTGCATTCATCATTGCTTTGTCAGCCTTAAAGATAGATAAATTATGCCAGTTTCATTGTTGGCGAATATGAACATCTTGGTAGTATGACATTAGCAATTTGGCAGTAAGAAAAGAGGAACTAATGAAAGTAATATTGTTTCTCAGCCATTTTCCCACTGATGTCACAGGCAGAAACAATTCTGTCCTTTAGCATTAGAATTAATAGATGTCCCCAGGTAGGCTTGCATGTCCAAGTGCCAATCTCTTTTCCTGAATTTGTTGTCCTAGTCATGCACTTGTACATATAAAGATGTCCACATGTAATTTTAAAAGACAATCCTTGAGAAATTTGGAATCAATGGCATTTTGTTTTATTAAATTGGTTAAAACAGCCTTCCTTTAGGTTGAAAGATGTCTTTAAACCTTTCACAAAATATATAATGTGTGTGGAGCACTGCCAGGCAGAGTATGAGGGAGATAGTAAGTATAGATGAGACTTGGAAGTTGAGTGGGGTTTCATTGTCAGCAAAATTGGAGCTTCATAGAATTTTAATCAAGTATTGTTGGCTCTTGGACTAAGGTGTTATTAATACATGTATTTGATTTTGATAAGGGACAACTAATAGAACTGAGGGCAATGAATATCATATTTTTTATATTTCAGACAGTTACTTTTAAGTTTTATACTGTAATTTTAGAAATCCATTGTTATGGTGAAAACTTTATTGTGACACATGAAACAGAAAATTAAGTATTTAAGAAGCAGATTGAAAGAATAATTGGAATTTTTACCTTGATGCTTTTGTCTTACGTCATTTTAATTGTATGAAAATTAGAATTATCTCTTTCCTGCTCTTATTTTGACAACAAAGTCTTAAATTGTTTTGATGGAAAATTTGTAATATCCCAAATTCAAAAGTATAATTTTACTGCAGGATAAATAGAAGAAGAAAGCTGGGAAGGAGCAAAGCATTGTTTACAAATGTCTTAATAATGAGCAAATGTGGCAGGAAAAAATATATTAAGACAAGTATAAGGTAGGTAAATTTATGTTTATCTGGTTTTAAAAAGTTTTACTTTGAAAAAGTTAAAGTTAGAATGATAGACAAATAAAAGCTATTTGTTCTCTTCAGCCTTAAATTATGTAGAAATAAACATAAACTGTGTATTCTTTCACTCAGCGATAATTTATTGAACTACTTTGTTTATAGCACTGTGTACACACACACACACACACACACACACACACGAAAATGGAGCGTGTGGCAAATAGTCTCAATTGGGCTAAGTAGCTGGATCAGAGAGATAGAAATTGTATTCATATTAAACTCTTGAACAAAAGAATATAACCTTTCTGGATGATTCAGGGTCATTTTTACTGTAATGTTCTGTAATATAAAATGCCCTTAGGGAATTGTTGCTATATTGATGCCTTAAATACTTCTAGCCTGCTGTGGTTTTGTTAGTTTTTATCTGTTTTTTATAGTTTTTCTGTCTCTTTCATTCTTGTAGGTCTTACTTTTTGCTGCTGACATTGTATCTGCCTGTAGAGCAAATAGCCTTCCCTGGTTTTGAATTGTCTGTGGGCTTGGAAACAAGATAATCAAGGTTTTTTGAATAACAATTGATGTAAGAGTAAATAGGCTCTGAGCCCAAGCCCTGTGGGTGCCTCTAGTGCATGGACTTCTTTATGTCTGATTCTAGTGTTTAGAGGGCTTTTTTTTTTCTCGGTTTTCATTTGAGTTCTGAATAGGTAAAGTTGCCATATTTAAGTTCCAGATAGGTAAAGTGTGTATAGTGCATAAAGTGTCTATAGAATAGTTTAGTCATGAAGTGATAAGAAAGGGCTTCTTCAAAAGAGGGGAGTTTTGAGCTGGCTCTTAAAGAACAGTGTTGCTTGTTTGAAGAAAGCAAGGCACTTGAGGTAGAAGAATTGGTATGATTAAAGGTGAAGAGGTAAGAATTATAAATCCAAATTGGATGATGAGAGGCAAATAGATTGGTTTGGCCTAGAAGTAAAGAGGCCAGGTTGAGGAATAACAAACTGTGAGCCTGGAAAATGAATGTGATAAGGTGTTTTCTGTATAAGGAGCAGTAAACTAAGAATGTTTAATTTAGAGTCGTAAATAATGGCAGGAGGTTATTGAAAGTTATTATGAAAGTGATATGATCACTTTTGAGAAATAATTGTTTCAGCAGCTGTGTTTAGGGTGTACTAGAAAATGGAGTATGGGCAGATTAATAAAAAGGAAGCAGATGTGATGAGGTTAGAAAACTTGGAAGTCAGGTGTTGACAGATATGGAAAAGAAATGGCTAGTCTGAGAAGCGTTGTTGGAGGATGACTATTTAAGATAATTTTTATTTCAATCAAAGTTCTGAATGATCCACTTAAATATTATATCTCTTTTTAGACTATTTTGGTGAAAAATAAATTATTGTAGTAGTATTAAATGGGAAAGGGGGTATAAGATCAGGAAGATAAATTTTAAATGGTCATTTTAAAAAATGAATTGTTACATATTTCATTTAGTGAGCATACCATTTAAAAGATTTCATATTTTCACTTTTTAGTTTTCAATTAGAGTTATCACAAGATTACTTAGTCTTCTAGATAAAAATTCAGGGTGATAACTTATTTATTTAAATTAAATTTGAAAGGAAACGGAAAATATTTTTAAAATATCCCTATAAAAATGGATCAGTTTCTTAGAAATGACTACATGGATGAGTTTCTTAAAAATGACCAAAGCTCTCTTACATGTCTTCAGCTTCACAAGGATAAAATTACATGGTAGACTTATTTATCATTAACTACATGACTAAAAAGTTAAATTACTCTTTTTATAATACTGTGTTATAGACATGGGCAGTTTGAATAAATGATGCGTAAATTATTTTCATAGAATAGAGATAGCTTTAATTTCTTCATCTGTAAATTGAGAGGAGGTGGGCTATATCATGAGATCCCTGCACATTCTAAATATATGATGTTATCTTTCCATGCCAGTATCAGCAATTGTGGTAATAACAATAATGATATCTCACATTTATATATTGTTTTATGATTACAAAGGACCACCTACCTTTTGAAAACTTTTGATGGAAGTTTTATTATAGATAATTAAGGAATAAGCCAACAATTTATATCATTCAGCTATAGGTGATCATAGGAGAACAATGGTTTTTAAAATCTGCATTCTTTGGGCAATGTCAATAGAATAACTTGCCTGGAATTTAGAGATTGAGAATTTGTACTATACCATACATTCTGTAGGATAAAGCGTTCACTTTGAAAGTAAAAAAAATTCTAAAAATGAAATTATGTCAGAGTCAAACATAAATAGTGATTCTTGAAATAGATGCCTAATGTTTTTATTTTTTTTTCTTTTCTTTTTAGACAAATGACCATGGAAACAGTTGAATCTCAGCAGGACGGAAGTGTAACAGATTCCGTAACAGACAGTGATTCTACTCATGTACAGACTCAGACTGGTCAAAATTCTATTCCAACCCTAGCTCAGGTAAATTAAAATAGAAGTGATAGACAGAAACTAATAATAAAGTTGAAAATATATGGAAATAAGAGCTGTGGCTCTATACTTGTTATTTTCTTGGAGGTGGTCTTTAATGTTGTATATTCTTGGATAGTAATTATTCTTGGATAGTAATTATTTCTAATGCTTATGTTGAAGGGAATATTGATATTTTAATGAGCATATAATAGCAAAAAATGAAACTCCAGAAGAAGAAAAAAAGCAAGAAAAAATATATAAACCTTATAAAACATTCAAAAAGAATGGTTGGTATAGAGTTGTCATGATAACCATTACATAACAGTAAAATTGAGTTATTTTTTTAAGTGCCCGCTAGTTACTTTTATTATCTTTGACTATTGGTATTTGAATATAAATATAAATTTGAACATAAAATATATGGGTCTGGTTATTTAGTACTTTAAAAATCCTGAAGGAGTATTTTTTGGAGGTTGAGGTGAGTTTTTAGGGAAGGTGGGTTGAGGACTGTGAGAGGTGGACTGTCCTACTACAGGTGCTAAGCTTGCTGGTAGGAATCAGTTAAGTATTTATTGAGCACCTTCTCTGAGCTAGAGACTGTTGCTGCCCACTGAGAATAGTTACAAAGACAACAAGGAAACATATCTATCCTCATGGAATTTGTGATCGACCAGGGAAGTTAACAAGTACATAATACGGAGTGTCCCAGAAGTCTTGGTACACTTTAAAACTATTAAACTTTATTTTTTTAATTCACAACATAAGTCCTCCAAAACAGGATTTTCATATATAAAGTAGAAAAACAAAAACAAAAAAGGGGCAGCTAGGTGGTGCAGTGGATAGAGCATCGGCCCTGAAGTCAGGAGGACCTGAGTTCAAATCCAGCCTCAGACCAAACACTTGACACAAGCTGTGTGACCCTGGGCAAGTCGCTTAACCCCAATTGCCTGAAAACAAAGAAACAAACAACAAAAAAACCACATATAAAGTAGAACACAAATAGAAGAGTGTGTGCTTAATTAAATGTTACTTTCAAAAGTGGCTAGTCTTCTCTTCCCTTACTTTCAAAATTGGCTCTGTTTACTTCTGTTTTCTGTGCACTTTAAAAAATATTGTAATGCCCAGTTTGTTTGTTTTTTTTAATGGCATGATTAATACTTCCCCAACTCCAAAGCCCTTCCCAGTTAAAAACAGGAGGAAAAAAAACGCAAACCTTTGTAACAAAGAAACAGTCAAGTAATGAGCATAGTCAAACAAAAGGGCAATGGTGTCCAAAAAAGATCACCTTAAGTCTCTCACTTGTTAGGTAGGAGGCGGGGTAATATAAGTCATTCTAGCTCTGGAGATAGGGTTGGTAGTTGCTTTGATGGAAATTCTTAAGTGTTATCCAGTGTTACTGGCCTTGTATAGATTGTTCTTCTGGTCTGCTTTCTTCACTCATTATCAGTTTGTACCTCCCAGGATTCTTTGAAGTCACTTAAGGCACATATTTCTTAAGGCACAATAATATTCCCTTATATTTTTTTATGCACCACAATTTAGCCATCTCCCCCATTTCCAATTGTCTTATCTCTCTCTCCTCCCATTTTTTCCTTTGAAGTACCATCTCCTGCTTGAGGATTAGGACGTTTGTTTTGCTTGTGACTGTTCATTCCCAGTATTCTTCTTTATACTACACCCCCAACCCCCCAATTTTTGCAGATTTTCCTGTTGAGTTTAATTTATTTCTATTCCAAATTCTGTGTAGGTGATTCGGACTGCCATTGTCTAATTCAGATGGGGGAGAGGGTCATTTGATGCCCATCACCCCAACTCTTCTTCCATATTTGTTATGAGGAAAAGTAATTTCCACTGTTCCTTCTTCCTTTCCATATTAGTGTATTCCTTTTATTCTCTGCTCCCTTTCCTCTCTTAAAAAGCATCAGAACAAAACCAATCCCCACCTCACCCCCCCTCTTCTGTTTTTTTTCGTATTTAAAACCCTCTATACCTTTTGAAGATACTACATTTCTAAAGGGATACTTACTTATTTTTTCCCTGTTAGAATATTAATACTTCATCATTTTGCAGCCCTTTTCAGTTGCTCAAATAAGTTTACCTTTCTAGTTTTTACTTGACTCTTGTGTTTGTATTTCAAGGTCCAACTCAGCTCTAGTCTTTTCGTCAGGAAATCTTGAGAGTGCTCTATTCCATTAAAGGTCTATTTTTGTCCTTTTAAGACTATATTCAGCTTTGCAGGCAAGTTGGTAGTAAAACTATATTTTTTGCCTTTTAGAATATTATATTCTGAGATCTCTTATCTATAGTAGAACCTTTCAGGTCTTATGTGATCCTGACCGTGATTGATCTAATAATAATGATTCAGCCCAATGTTCTAGCCTGTCAAGATTTTTTTGATCTTTTATTGCATCCTGTGTTCACTATCCCTCCAAACTTTGTCTCATTTTCAAATTTTATGAATACTATTAGCTATGCCATTGTCTAAGTCATTGATAAAAATATTGGGCAGCACAGTACTCAGATCTCGGGGGTATTTCACTGGAGACCTCCTGCCCTGTTGCTTTTGAAGTGTTAATTAGTCTTTGAATCTGGCCATACAACCAATATTGAATCCATCAGCTTATTGTTTAATCAGTGTATATATATATATATATATATATATATATATATATATATATTTATATATATATATATACATACATACATACATGTGTTGTGTGTGTGATATATATATATATATATATATATATATATATATATATATATATATATATATATATATATATATATATATATATATATATATATATGTCTTCTTCACAGGGAATAGTATTATATATTTTATAAAAAATCTAGGTTAACTGTATTCACCGCACTCCCCTCATCTACTAATTTAGTGATATTTTCAAAACAGGAAATGAGTTTAGTCTGGTATGACCTGTTCTTGATGAAACCATGCTGGCTGTTTGGATTTAAGCATTCCTTTCTAAATGTTCATCAGCCACCTCTTTAATAATCCATAATAAGATATTCGCAGGAGTCAGTTAAGCTCATTGGCCTGCAGTTTGCAGACTGTGTTCTATTCTCTTTTTTGAGAATTGACTGGTGCTTAATAAATGTTGATTGTTGGATTGATTGAGTTAAACAAGATTTATTGTGGCTAGCTCTGGAAATCAAAGATAGTGTGGTTTTAAAAAGTTATTGCTGTAAGGTAGTTTTCTTTTATGAGAAAGACTTAGAAAATGCCCAGAAAAAATATTCAAAACTTTTAACTGAATCATTTATCTCATACCTAAATTATTCCAAATGTAAATTAGCCATTTAATATCTAAATTATTAATTTAAAATCAAGAAAGTCTCAGAGGTTTTGCTATAAATAGGTTTTAAAAAATTATCAGTCAGTAAGCTCTTATTAAGCACATGCTCTATGCCAGGCACTGTGCTAAGTATACAAAGAAAAGAAGCTAGCATTCACTATTATTAAGGAGTTTATAGTCTCTTAAAATTACATGTAGGTATTGAGTGAGAACTTGGTGCTTTAAAAAAATATGCATATCCATATTTACATATTTCTCAAGCCAACGAACTCCTTTTTTCTCTACCTAAATACTTTGTTATGTTAGTTGATCTGAAATAGATTTTAATAATAAGTTTCACCAAGTCAAATTTAAAATTCATTTCTTTTTTAGACATATCAAAATTATTTAAAACAGTAAAGATGGTCTTAATTCTCTTATCAAGACAGTTATAATATGCTTCCATATATAAACCCCATTTATATATTGTTCATAGTGAACCTATTTAATGTAAAAAGGTACATTTGATTTAAAAACAGGTTGGTGTAAAATTTTCCATTAGTGTGTTAAAAAAAGAAAGTAGAAATAGCAATAATAACTGAGAAAGTAGAAATTTAAGTAGAAATCACTCAAACACATATGAGGAAAAGGAAAGGTAACATGAATAACATGTTAGTGATTCTCAGTTTATGTAATTAAACCTTCAGAATGTAATAGTGATAGTGCTGTGTATATAAGTTGGTTTTATATACATTCTGTTTTGATTATTTCATTACAAGAAGGTAGGTGTGCCAGGTAGTGTTATCCATATCTTTTTGATGAGGAAACCGATTGGCCCCAAGCATCACAGTTAATAAGTGACCAAGTTGTGATATGAATCCAGGTTTCCTGATTCCAAGTCTCATGCTCTCTAAAATGTTACTTTGGTTTATAGAAGTGGATCCATTAAGAGATTGCTTTTTTCAATAAAATTTGATCATACAAGGGGAGAAGAGAATGGCATATTAGCAATATTGAATAGAAAAGTCAAGGTGAAATCTTTTTAAGTTTGAGGAAACTTGAACATATTTGTTAGGTAGGATCTTGTATAGATTGAGAGATTGTATGTGTATGAGAAAGAAAAGATGATTGCCGGAGGAAGTTCCTAGATAAGGCAAGAAAGAAGGTAAAGATAGAGGGATTAATTAGGGGTATGTGTTTCTCAGAGACCCAAGAGAGGAGAATGGCAAAATGAGGGATTTATGAGTGTATAGGTGAAATTTGAGGACTGGAAGTTGGAAGTTTGGGAACCTCTTGTCAGATGGCTCCACTCTTCTCAGTGAACTAGGAGGTTTACTATAAAGCAAAGGAGACTTAAAAGAGGAAAAGGTTTGAAATAGGTGCTGTGGAAAATGAAATAGTCAAACGAAAAAGAATTGCTAAATAGCAATAGAAGGAAAATCTGGCTAAGTTGAATGGAATGGAAATAGCAGAACATACATATTTCTGTGTTTTAGGCCTCTGTAAGTTTCTCTGTTTTACCATGATTTTTTTAAATGAAATTTTTCCAGATAGGGAAAACGTAGATAAATACTCAGAAGAACTAATGTATTATTTTGAACAAATCTTTAAAATTTGGCCTAGGTATGGTTAATGTTACATAGGACATAGTGTTGCATGATGTAATAGAGGTCATGAATAGGATATGATAGCAAGATTCCCTGTAGGGGAGGA